TGAATTGCTACGCATCAATCAAATGCATGGGCAGATGCTCTCTGGCAACAAGTCAGTGATACATGGTTAGATGCCTCAAAATAATATTTACTGGATGCTGTAACTTGATAGAGGGAGTCATATAAATAGTGACAAAAATATTTTCTTTTGAAAAGAAAGTTTTTATTGATTTCAAAGAGAAGAAGGGAGAGGGAGAGATAGAAACATCAATGAGGAGAATCATTGATCTGCTGCCTCCTGCTGCCACCTACTGGGGATTGAGCCTGCAACCGGGGATGTGTCCTGACTGGGAATGGAATCATGATTTCCTGATACATGGGTGGATCAATGTTCCACCACGGAGCAGCACTGGCTGGGTCAAATATTTTCAATAATCTTTTTTTTTTTTTTTAAACAACAGAAATTTCTTTTTTTATGGTTTTGGAAGCTAGGAGTCCAGGATTAGGTGCTAGCCAATTTGGTTTTGGGCAAGAGCTCTCTGTGGCTGGCAGATGACTGCCTTCTCCCTGTGTCCTCACAGGATGGAGACCGGTCAATTAAAAAAAAATCTTTATATTTGAAAGTATTACATATGTCCCCTTCCCCCCGTCCCCCCCATTGACCTCTTCTGCGATTCTTGGTGTTTAGTGTTGGCTCAGCGAGTGCCGGTGGACCAGGCCTTTCTGTTCTGTAAGTCTTTCTGGGAAACTTTTCAGTAAGTTACAGGTAGCATTATATAAACCTTATAAACATTAGAGTGATCGACTAGGAAGTGGGGCTACTGGTTAATCCAAGCAAAGTTGTAAATGCACGAAGGTTAACTTATGCTACGTTACCTGCTAGGCTACATGTGGAGGTTGGGTTAAAATATAACCCAGCTCTGTCTGCTGAGAAGGCCTTGGACGATGCCATCCCAGCAGGAACACATAAGGCCTAGGTAATACTGTTCTTCAAGAAAACAGTGAAGAGGTGGCTGATGTTAAGGCCGAGATGGGAAGACTATGAGAGGAGCTGGAGCAGCTTGTAGTACCAGAAAGTAACACATTGCTAAAAGAAGAAGTATTTACAGTCCAGGGTACCATAGCCCTGTTTTTTTTTAAATTTTATTGATTTTTTACAGAGAGGAAGAGAGAGGGATAGAGAGTTAGAAACATCGATGAGAGAGAATCATCGATCAGCTGCCTCCTGCACACCCCCTACCGGGGATGTGCTCACAACCAAGGCACATGCCCTCGACCGGAATCAAACCCAGGACCCTTCAGTCCACAGGCCAACGCTCTATCCACTGAGCCACACCAGTTTCGGCAATAGCCCTGTTTTTATTTTAATCTCACAGTCTAGTGTTTCTAGTCTCCTTTGCTGATTCCTTCTCATTTCTTGGATCCCTACACATTGAAGTGTCCCAGGGCCCAGTCCTAGACTTTTTTCCCTCTTTTCTATCCTCAAATCACTTCCTGGTGAGCTCACCCCATGTCATGGCTTTAAGCATTAGCTACAGACTCCCAAATTTCTATCGTAGCCAGACCTCTTCCCTGACCCCAGAATTGAATGCAACACTGGAATCAATAGAAGATCTCCCCCCATAGGTATTTGTGTTCCCTTGCAATAACCTGGTGAGGGTTGTGTAGTGGACACTGGAAGGAAGCTGCCTGGGTGGTGGACAATGGTCTCTGCCCTTTGGTTCCATTCCAGGAATAGTCAGCAGTCTCCGGGATTTTCAGTAGAATAACGGGGTAAGGAAGGCAACTGACTGGGAATCAAACCTACAACCCTTTGGTGTGTGGGCATGAGTTCTAACCACTGAGCATACCAGCGAGGGCAAGTAGTCCAGTTTTAAACTTATCTCTTAAATTCATTATTTGAATTCCTCTGCTACACACACACACACACACACACACACACACACACGTATAACACTAGCCACCAATATGTGGTAATTTACCTAGCTGGTTTTTTTTTTTTTTTTCATTTATGCCAGAGTCCATATCTTTAATATTTTTTAAAATCCTCATCTGAGGACATCCTTTTATTGATTTTTATAGAGAGAGAAAGGGAGAGGGAGAGAGAGAGAAACATCATTGTGAGAATGAAACATGGATAATGTTGCCTCCTGCACATGCCCCAACAGAGGATCAAACCAGAAACCTGGATATGTGCCCTGACTGGGAATCAAACCCACGGACGATTCTTCAACCAACTGAGCAACACCCATAAGGGCCACAGTTCATCTATAATAATAAAAGTGTAATATGCTAATTAGACCAGACATCCTTGTGGACAAGGCTGCTGTGGCGGCTAAGCCCCTTGCAGGAATGTCATGCCTCAGGCCTCTAGTATATTTGTACTAGCTGGATCTCAGACTTCATCCTATACCAGGCCTGATAACCAATTCCGGATTCTTCTCATTTCTTCCTTTTCCTATTGTTCTTGTTGGTCTTATTCTGCTTCCTTGACAATTGAGATAACAATTTTGGGATATTGAGCACGACTCTTTTGAGCTACAAAAGTCACTGTAGTGAAGATGGACAAGTAGCTAGCCTTGAAAAAAAAGCTTGGACTGTGTTGGGTGTTGACTTTTCTTTGCTCTCTAGGCTATCTTAGACCTGCTCTTTGGATTGGGAGAGATGGTTCACCTGTTTCAGTTTTCTTTTCTTCTTTCTTCCTTTCTTTCTTTCTTTCTTTCTTTCTTTCTTTCTTTCTTTCTTTCTTTCTTTCTTTCTTTCTTTCTTTCTTTCTTTCTTTTATTTTTTTAAAATTTCTTTATTTATTAAGGTATCACATATTTGTTTCAGTTTTCAAACTGGAGTGGGACAAACACATCACTGCCACCTCTTCTGCATATAAGGATTTATAGATTACAGACTGTATCCTGGTCCCCTCCACTGATGCTGTCTTATCCCAGCTTCTCAGACACCTGTGAGATGGGCCAAACAAAGGTAGATGTGCTCATCTGTGAAGTTAAGGAATTAATGAAGAGGCATGTGCCCGGGATCCCCAGGGTTGGCCAGGAGCTGGGTCAAGAATCAAATCCACATCTTCCCAGACCCTCCACACTGACCTCCCCGTTAGGAACGGCTGTGATATTCGCAGTCCCAGTGCAAGAGTACACATGGATGCCCCATACTTTTTGTCTAACTCTTTGAAAGCAACAGTCAATCTATCAAGTGTTAAAGAAACTATACTCTATATTCCAGTTTTGACAAATTGTCACAGTTTGGATCTCCAGGAGCAGACGCTGAGACTGAGTTTGGCCTGAAGGGTGTTTACTAGTGGTCAACACAGAGAGGAAGGAGGAACAGGTGGAGGGAGACGTCCAGCTGCAATGCAGGCCCCACCAAGCCGCAGCCAACCCCACAGGGTGGCAAATTCATTAGTCAACAGAGCCAACTATCAATAGTACAACGATTGAAATTTCTTTTGAGAGCCAAATTTTTTAAACTTAAACTTCTTCTAACGCCACTTCTTCAAAATAGATTCTCCCAGGCCGTGGTATTTTGCGGAAGAGCCATACTCAAGGGGCCAAAGAGCCGCATGTGGCCGCAAGCCGCAGTTTGCCGACCACGGGCCTAGGGCATGTGTGGCCCATCAGAATATACCAAGTTAGGTGAAAGCGCTGGGTCATGCCTCCTCAGCCAGAGGATGAGGAGTTCCGTATAGTTAGTTCCGGCAAGAGCTGACAGCTGAGCAACAAGTCCTCCCTCTAACTCCTTAATAACGACCTTTTCAGCCCAGGAAAGGGCAGCAGGGCGAGGGGCCCTCCTTCTTTTTCTAGTCCCAGCCTTCCTGGTCTCCTCAACCAACCTCCATCCACCTGCCTCCACAGCCACCCCTTGGGCCCATGGGGCTAGACTCACCGTGAAGACGTGAAGACGCAGGGGCGAGAGGCAGGGAGGCAATTCCAGGGTCCCTGGTACCCAGAGATTGGTCTAAAATGGGATGGGGCACTGGGAGTAGGTGGAAGGTCCCTAAAAGGGGTGGTGCAGATCTAAGGTACTGCCACCAAAGATCACGCTGAAAATGTTGGGAATCATGAACAGGAGACATTGCTTAAGGAAGACGCAAAATTCCTCAGAGACTGAGGTAGACTCCAGTTAATATATTTTTAAAAAAATATATTTTTTTATTTCAGAGTGGAAGGGGGAGGGAGAGTTAGAAAACATCAATGATGAGCCAGAATCATTGACGGGCTGCGCCCCACACTGGCAATGGGCCCCACAACGTGGGCATGTGCCCTGACCTGGAATCAAACCCACATCTCCTAGTTTCATAGGTCAACGCTCATCCCGGCCAGGGCTCAAGCGAATATTAAATAAAATAAAGGCTCAGAAATACTAGTCTCCTCATGCGTACCAGAGACTGTACTAGTAACTATTAGCCGGATTCCTGGTGTCGCTGTGCCAGAGCTTCCTGGCACCCTTGGGGACTCGTTCTTGGTCCAACAATCCTCTCCTGTGGTGGCATCCTCCCTTTGGGTGCAGGTCAAGATCACTCTCCATCCGGCGTCCATAGCCAGGTCCCCGGGGCCCAGCAGAGCTGGCACTGGCAGCGCAGGAGCCGGGGCAGGAGGAGCGCCGCCGGAGCCGGAGGCGGTGGCCGGGCCCAGCCTGACGCAGCGGCGACGGGAGCAGGCCACTGCGGGGCGCCCCGAACCCCGGTTTCTCCCCGGAGGCTGGGGCGCGGGTCTGAGTGCCTCGTAAGCTAGCTGGGGTCACGGACCGGGAGCCGAGACCGAGGGAGCACCGGAGCGCGCCCCCGGTGGAGGAGGAGGCGGGGAAAGGAGGGGCCGGGTGCAGGAGGGGAGGAGGCTGAGAGCGCGGAGAGGGAGGAGGAGGAGGGAGGGACCCGCCTGCTGCGCCCGACAGCCCGGCCAGTGTGGCTGCAGGCGCCCGTCGCCACCGCTGTCCCGGGGCTGCGCGGCACCCAGGTGCCCAGCGCGGTGTGCGCTCCAGCGGCCGCGTTGCCGAGGGCGAGCGCCGCGCCGGCCGCAGCCCCCAGCGCGCTCCCCCGGGCCGCCGCGGTGCATGTTCGCCTCCTGCCGCTGCGTGCCGAGAGGCAGGGGGACCATGAAGATGATCCACTTTCGGAGCTCCAGCACCAAATCGCTCAGCCAGGAGATGAAATGCACCATCCGGCTGCTGGACGACTCGGAGATCTCCTGCCACATCCAGGTGCGGGAGGCGGGTGCGCCCGGGCAGGGGAAGGGAGGGACGGGGGGGGGGGTGAGGGGGGGGCCTGCGGGTGGGCGTGCGCCGTCAGCCATGAGGAACCCACCCCTGGGCCTTGCTAGAAAGCCGGATTTCGTTTCCCTGTTTTCTGAGGCTGGGAACCCTGCCCGGAGATGGGGGCACTGCCCCTGTCAGGCGCCAGGCGAGCGTTCTCTGCGCCCAAGCCCCCCTCCTGGCATGCACGCTTCGCGCATCTGGCTGCGCCCAGGCTGGGGACCCCAGCAGCTGCCTGCAGCCCCTCTATCGCCCATCCCACCGGGAAACTGGAGTTCTGAGACCAAGAGGGGCACCGTTAGGTCGCCCACTCTGCCTTCCTTCGTCCCTCCACGTGGAGAAGGCATGCACCAGCCCGGGTCCACTTATTTTTCTTTATGGCACCGGCTCCGAAGATTCCATCAGACCGAGCCCCACCCGCCCATCACCTTTACTTCTCTACAGCGTGTGTGTGTGTGTGTGTGTGTGTGTGTGTGTGTGTGTGGCTGCGAAGTTTCCCGGGAGGGAAGGAGGGAAGCTGGGCAACCCCGGGCTCCAGCCTTGAGGGATGGGGCGCGCCCTGCGTGGAACTGGAGCCAGCTCGGAAGGAATCGTGTGAAATCCGAGCGTTTCAGAGAAAGGAAAAGGGCTGTGAGGCCAGTAGAGCTGAACCGGAGCTGGGTTCAGGGTGCAGGGACTTCAGCAGGACCCTGGCCCAGGGAAAAAAAGCACCCCTTAGAGTCTTGGTGGACATTCACTCTTGTCCAAGTTGGAGATAGTGAGAGTTGTGTGGGGGAAGGCAGCTTGGCTGCCAGCTCCATCCTCCTATGATAAGTGCCGTTTGCAGGAGAGCAGTTATGAGCTGCAAGGGTGTGTGTGTGTGTGTGTGTGTGTGTGTGTGTGTGTGCTGTTACTGTGTGTATATGTAGGCAGGTGTGTGCCCTCTCCCATGACCCAGCCAGAGTGTACACTTTGGATAGGTCGTGTTAGGGCTCAGCACTATTTGCTCCTGGCTTTAAAACCTATTAACCCCGGGGATTTCCTTTTCTCACCTACCCGGTCTTCAGGGAAGCTCAGGACTGAACTTCAGGTCCTGGGCACCCTCTGCAGTTCCTGTGAAAGGTGAATGGGGGCAGCATCTCCCAGCGGCAGGAATTCCTTCCAGGGCTTTGTTAACCAAGAATGAATAAGTGAATGAATGAAAGGTCTCCCCCACCTTTTTTTTCTTCCTAGTGGGAGCTGGTGACATGCAGCCAGCAACTAATGTGCAAGCTAACAGCTGGACAATTTCAAGGCAGGAATGTGGTGCCCCATGATCTCCCAGGAGAGTAGGCTCCCCCTGATGGTTTTTCTTTTTTTCTTGGAGGATCTTGAATTTCATTCTGAGCTAAAGTTACTAACATAAAGATGAGCAGGATAGGCAGTTTTCCTGCTGCCACAGGGCTGCACAGAAACATTTGGCATGTACTGTCTTGTGATCCAGAGACAATCGTTTGTGCACTTTGGTTTAAGTCTGAAGTGTACACGTCTTTTAACCCGTTTGGAATATGCAGCTAGTGGAGGGGCCAGCAGCAGGGAGTTCCCCTTTGCTCTGTCAGCCTCTGTCTGCCCTGTTCTAGCCCACGTGGAGTTGCTGCCACTGTTTCTTCCCCCCTTTCTGGTTCTGGAGGAGGTCTTCCTTAGGATAGATAGGTAGTCCTCAAAGGACATGTCTTTATTGTCTGGTGTTCTGGGAAGCACAGTTGTAGCCAATCCAATAGCAGTTTGGAAAGTCAGACTTTATGTGGTCCCACTAATGCACACGTGGTTAAAATGTTATGATCCAAAATGTTGATTTCGGCCTAAAATAAAAAATCAAATGTTCCATCTGGCGGCACATCTTTCCTGCCCCTTCTGTCCCAAATGGCGATTATCATTTAATCAGTTAAAATGAATTAAAATATTTTATTTTGATATCTTGGAACTTTTCCTAGAGCGTACTAAACCCGGGAATTAAAATTGTACTTCTGGGTATAAGGTTACATAAAAACTTGCCATTTGTTTAGGGTGAGAACAAAATGATTTAAAAAAAAGAGAGTCTTTTGGACTCACCAGTACATGCCCCGGGGAAGCTATCTGTCTTTCCTTCCTCCTTCCTTCCTCTATTCCCCCACCTTTCTCCTTTGTTCCCTCCGTAACCAAGTTAATGGAGTATATGGACTCCTGAACAGTGTCACACATTCTCCTTTCATAACTACACAAAATGTGGGTTATGGATTTTTTTTTTTTGAAAAACAATAGCTTTTACATATTTGTTTTCCAAATAATGTCATTTTCATGATACTTTGACAAGGGAAACTTTCAAACAAATACCTTAAAGGCCCAGTCTCAGCAGCCTGATAGCCAGTTACAATAGGAGATGCTGAAAGCCACTTGCTCAGACTCTTTTTACGGGGCCTGGGGTGCTGTCCCATTGTGCCTCTTGTGTGTGAATGTTTCTCCCAGTTAATGTGGAAGAGGACTTCCAAATGGATAGTGAGTCAAAGGGGAGTTGAGGGCACCAGATAGGCTTGGAGAAGGGGAGGAGCCATGAGTCCTCCCTCCTGGGTTTTTCCAACCGAGCCAATCCTTGAAGTCTGGAGACTGTAGCAGGACATGACTTAGTTCCAACCGCTTTCGCTCAGCCTTGCTGCTTCAAGAAGAGGGGAGTCCTGGCCATCTTCCCCATTCTACCCACTTTTTCAGATGCCAGCATGGTTATTTAGAAGTTCTCCTAATAAACCTATGTTTAATACTGATTTTTATTGAGTAAAATATAGCAGGCTTTTTACATTATTCGTTCTTTAGCAAAGCCTGGTAAGCATGGTAGATATTATTGGGAATTTGGATTTGAATAAAAATCTTAGCCTAATCTTTAGGACATAGTAGTCCTTCAATAAATATTTTTAGGTGCAGATTTGGTCCTTCCCTTTCTAGACTATTAAATCCTTGAGAATAAGAACATTTTGTGATTGTTCATTAAGGAGTCCCCAAAACATAGATTGTACCTGACATATAGTATGTGTTCACTAAACACTTGCTGAATGAATGAGTGCCCAATACTTAATCTAGCTTATTACCTATCAGCATGATGCTAGCACGACAACACTGGATTTTGAATCAGGAGCTGTGTGGTGTAGTTATGTTACCAACCAGCTTTGTGGCGTTAAGTGAGACATTTGATATTTGGAGTCAATGTTTCTTTTTGTAAAAATAAGGGAGTTGGGTTAGATGGATGGCTTCAGTTTAAAAGTGTAGAGTTTAATTATTACCTGAAATCAATTACCTATGGCAAACACTGCTGTTGACAGAGTGGTCATATACACATTAGCTCACGTGGTTTTCTTAACGATTCAGCATCATGTCCATTTTATTAATGTTATGTTATTGAGTGTTGTCTCAAACTTATGGAAAATGAGATTCAGAGAGAGTAAGCAATTTGGGTCACGCGGCAAGTAAGTGGATTGGAACCCAGGTCATTTAACTCAAAAATCCAGAGCTCTTTCTCTATAGCACTGCCTCTTGAAACTTGAGAGTTAGGATACTTTTGGCTGCACGTAAGACAAGTAGCTAGGCTGAAGTAGCTTAAATGACAAGGACACTTATCTTACCTCAGGGGAAGCCCACAGACAGGGCAGCCTCATGGCTGTTCAGCAGCTCTGCCTGGGTTCAGGTGCTTTCTGTCTTTCCATTCTGCCTGCCTCCATGCCAGCTACCTCACTGTAGTCATCATGATTATGAGATGGCTGTGCTAATTCTGGATGCCAGTCAGGCACTGCCAACCCACCATATAAAAGGTGGTATTTCCTCATGCATTCTTTTTTTTTATCATGGAAAACACCTTTTCTGGAGGTGCCGTTTGTCTTCTCATCAGATCCCATTGGCCAGGATCACAACATGTACCCATGCCCCCTGCCTTGCTGCAAAAAAAGTCAAGGAATGCGGGCCTCTGGTGTCTTCACTTCTCCCTCTCTATTATGAGAGGTGGGCTTTGCCATTATGGGAGGAATGGAGGGGTGTGTGTGTGTGTGTGTGTGTGTGTGTGTGTGTGTGTGTGAGTGTGTGGTGGGAGGCAGGGAATGACTGTTGCCTAAGCAAGCAAGAATGTCTTTCAGAATAGGTCAACTTTAGTTAACAATTATTGTTACAATAAAAATTTCAGGAGAGTTTAATAAGATATTATGTAAACCCTGGCAGTTGATCTTTGTATGATCACATTTCAGAACAAGAAAAATGATTGGCTAATCCTTTGTACTTTGTGTTGTTAAATATGAGTTCTGTCCTCATTGAACTGGTGGGTCTGGGCAGCTACAAGCCGTCTTGTGTAAAGCAGGCTATTGCACTCTTGCTGAAGTGGTGTTAGGCAGAGTGGTTGAGAACTTATGTTCTGAAGTGCTACTTGTTTGGGTTGGAACCCTGGCTAGTTAGGCTTCTTTGGATAAGTCACTTCACCTCTTGGGCCTTAGTTTCCTCATCTGTAAAGTGGGGATAATACTGGCACAGACCTCATGAGCTTGTTATAAGGACTCAATGTAGACTATATGTCAAATTCTTAGTACTTGGTCCATAGTAAAAGCTGAAAAAAATATTGACAGCTATCTTAGTCTTCTGTGAAGATACGTTAGAGGTAATCGTAAGTATTGGGAAGGCTTTGATTTAGAATCTAATGCCTCTAAGCCCAAACTCCATTACATTCTGATTGTTCAAGACCTTAAGTCATCGTGTCTCCTGTTTTTCATCTGGGAAATGGGCATAATACTAGTAATTCCTCAATTGCCATATTCCTCTGGGTCAGTGGTCAGCAAACTCATTAGAGCCAAATATCAACAGTACAGTGATTGAAATTTTTTTTGAAAGCCAAGTTTTTTAAACTTAAACTTCTTCTAATGCCACTTCTTCAAAATAGTCTTGCCCAGGCCATGGTATTTTGTGGAAGCCGCACTCAAGAGGCC